ACATGCACACATCTAGATGTGTATAAGAGACAGGCCCAAGCCAACGGCTGCCTCAGATTTGGACAGCCCAGCATCATGCAAAAGAGAGCCCCGCCACCAGTGAATCCTTCCCATGAAAACTATTCGATGAGCCTTTAGCTTTCTGTAGGGCTGTTGGAACAGCCAGGATGATGTGTGGTCGTTTATTAAATTCCCCTCCTTTGCCTGAGGCATAACCCCCTCGTGGCAATAAAGGAAACTTTGGAGTTATGGGTCGGGCCGCAAAAGAGGTACCAAAGCGAGGTGAGCTCTGAGCACTACCAGGAATGGGCTTGAGTTATAACTAGTGAGGCGGTAGGGGATAATCTTTAATTGTCAAAGGGAAACAGTCCAGATCACCATCTAAGGCCCCTAGAATGGGATTTGTTGTAGTTCAATGATGATGTTGGGAAATGCTTTTGTTGGTCTTTACATGGTTATAAATTTGTGTGTGCTGCCTGCCGCGGGTTGACCGCCGTAGATTGATGATTGCCATTTCTGATATCGTTGTTGCTGGTAACTTTTTTACTTAACTGTACTTATTGTGGCAGTCTGTTCAGTGAGGGGGAACTCTTATTGCTGCATTTTATGCTACTGTCTTCCCCCGAATATAGAACATACACTCATTATCACCGCTGTATCTAGACTGAACGTTGTGCCAAATACAGACATACTGCCCGTATGTTCTATTTGGGGGAAGACGGTAGCGTGTGTTTGAACCTTGGCTTTTAGTAAATTCAACTTTATTTGGTTGCTTTCTGCACATCCTTTCGTGATCACGCGACTGATTCACTTTATCTTTCTTGTTGGATCTGCTTATCGTTATCATTGCTAACTATGTGCTTGTGGCGGCTATGTTGTGGAATTGGACTGTTACTGGAAACAGGACGTGGTGTCGGCACCCCGCCCTCCATGTCCTCCAGTTAAGCGACTTGCAGTTTTGAGCAATGACAAGGTTGACGCAGAGGAATATGGGCTACCCTCAGGTCACACTGTCAATTTCCTGGCGATGTCACTGTAAGCTCACCAACTCTCTGCCTCTCTCTCCTGGCGATGTCACTGAATGCTTGTTCCCCGCATTCGAGGTATGTGACTGGTCTCTTGTTTGTCGTCATTATCTGTGCTTTTTGTTTCGTAAATTGGCTCAATAAGGGCTGGCAATCAATGTGGAATTTTAGTCCTTGAGCCCTCAAGTGTTGCACTTTGTATTATCATGTTACCAGTTCAACTCTACATGTTACTTTGACTCACCTGTTCGTTACTTGAGGGCGAGGGAATGTAGAGGTTTTAACTTGTGTTAGTCCCCTGGTGGCCCGGCTGAGGGAGGGTCGCCCGGGTACCCTTCAGGGCAGCCCGGACCGGGCAGGGCCCAGGCAGGGTCCCGGGCGATCCCAGCGCATAATATTAAAGAAAAAAAAAAAAAAAAAAAAAAAAAAAAAAAAGTAGGAAAAAAATAAAAATAGAAAAAAAAAAAGAAAAAAAAAGAAATCGAAAAATCCGGGAAAAAAAAGTCCGAAAAAAAAATGTTGTGTATGCCGCCCCAAAGTTCCTTGTTAATTTCAAGATAAAAGTAAATGAGAAAACATGAGTCCAAATGTACCCTTTTAAGCCATTTAGTCACTGTTTATACCCTCCACCCCCCCTTGGATGATCCATCACCAAAAGCGAAGTTAAGACCGGATTCTGATTGCTTAGGCCAAGCGCAGTCCTGGCCTGAAGTCTTTTTTYTTTTTTTTTGGGGGGGGGGGGGGATCCTTGCCTCTTTTTTGACCCGTCTGGTTTTGCCGGGCGATCCCCCCTCTGCCCAACTTGCCCGGGCGTGCCTGGCCGGGCGACGGCCCAACATAGGTGTTAACTGTTTTCTGGGTGTGTTTCACAACACATGCAGTAATCCAAACAGAGAGGAGAGCGTTGCCCTTCGTGACATCGGTTAAAAAGATTCGATACAGAGAAGATTAGCATGACCCCTGTGCAAGGATGACACACATAAATCGACAAGTGGTCTTTTTTTTTGTTTCACAGAAGGGAAAAAAACAAACAGATAGCATTACCAGCGTGTTTGTGAAACTCTCTCCTCACATGTGTTATCTTGTTTGGTGTTTTTGCTCACGTTTGGTATGTGCCTTCCCTGTTTAGTCTGTCCGCTAAATTATTCCTTGCTTTATCTATTGAGTAAACGATGCCCCTCTCTATCCGTCGTCTAAAAGATTTTTGGCAATTTGGGTCGTAATCAACACTTCGTGCCCCTTCTTTTGAATAGGTAAATTACTTGCGCCGTTCTGTATCACACCAAATAAACGTACATATGCATGATATTTTGTTATCTTGTTAGCCTGGTTTTCTGTTCCCTTCGGGAGTCATCCTTTTTGGGCACCCACGTGTCCCGGCGGGTGTGTTTTTGCGTAGGGTTGACCCAGCTCGCTCGTAGCCAAGGCATCCACTGTATGCAATGTTTTGAATATAGCAGGGCCCTTTGTGGCTACAAAACATTTGCATGAATGAGTATCTAATACTGTGTTTCTCGGCCTTTTGGCTAAAATTAGATCAAGTGCAGTATCTGTTCCATGGCTACGCCAGACCCGGATCCAGGCAGCTCATGTCTGGGGACCGGGCGCGTGTCCGGTCGGGTCCGGTCGAGTCCGGACGCCCGGACACATCCGGACCTCCGGACATTCATGGTTCCGGACGGTCCGGATCGGTAAGCAGGTCCGGAAATGCCCGGACCATTTAAAAATAAATAAATTAAAAAAATCTGAAAAAAAAAGTATGTTATGCAGTATAACAATGCAAACCCACTTTTGCCTCACAGTCATGTCAGAATTCCTAACCAAACTTGAGTTAAAAGTCAAAAACTATAAAAAACTTAAAAAAAGACTTCAAAAACTAAAAGTGATAAATTATTAATAATTAAAAAATTGGTTGTGTGACAGTGCTGGTCGCCGGATGGACCGGGGACCCCTACCCCATCCGCGGTCCTTCCGGTTGGACCAGCCGGTGGCCCGGGCCGGTTCCCTCCCGGTTGCCCCCAGCGCATTTTTGCTGGGGGCTGAATTTTTTNTCCGCGGTCCTTCCGGTTGGACCAGCCGGTGGCCCGGGCCGGTTCCCTCCCGGTTGCCCCCAGCGCATTTTTGCTGGGGGCTGAATTTTTTTTTTGGTAGGCGCGTATGTGTTCCCAAGGCCTCGTGGGGGTGGGCCCTGCCCCGCAATTTTGAAACCGGGTCCTGTAGGCCCGGATTTTTCAAGTACAGAAAGTGGCCAATTTTGGCCGCCGATCGTCGCAGATCAGCGGCAAAGATCGGCCAGGACCCCATTTCTATAAGAAAAACGGGCAGACGATATCCGCCGCTGATCTATGCAGATCAGCAGCAGAGAACAGCCATGCGTTTTTCCTAAGATGTGGGTCGGGTAGGCCCCTAATCCAATTTGTCATCTTGTGGTCCAATGGACCAGTTACCATTAGCAACATCTGATGCTCTTTCACCCTCAGCCACGAGGGGAACACTATGCTTCTGATGAGACTCTGCTGAGATTATATCCTTCTGCGACGTCCCTGCCATCTGTGGAAAAAAGTTATGGGTTCGGATTTTGGAATTGTGATTTCAGAGCCGTCTGAGGGGCAATCCCAAGAATGGACCTAAAATATAGGGCGTTGCTGCACTACTCTCGACATGCACAAAAGACAAAAATCTTGGCGGTGTAATTTTCCGAATTCTAGCGGAAGATTCACTCTCGTTTTGCACATTTCGAGAGTAGTGCAGCGAGGCCCATATTCTTCTCTCTCTCTATCTCGAATGGACCTTGCTCCACTACATGTATCTGGACAGACTGCCAGACAAGATACTTCCGAGGTGCAATCCCAAGAATGGACCTAAAATANACAAGATACTTCCGAGGTGCAATCCCAAGAATGGACCTAAAATATAGGGCGTTGCTGCACTACTATCGACATGCACAAAAGACAAAAATCTTGGCCGTGTATCTTTCCAAATTCTAGCGGAACATTCACTCTCGTTTTGCACATTTCGAGAGTAGTGCAGCGAGGCCCATATTCTTCTATCTATCTATCTCGAATGGACCTTGCTCCACTACATGTATCTGGACAGACTGCCAGACAAGATGCTTCCGGACTGACAACTCACCTTATGTAGGAACCAACAAACAGAAAACGCTCTGCCTCCACGAGCAGAAAGCTGGAACCATAACTTTTCTGCTGTCGAAATATACTCTGGAAGAGCTATAATTTCGGGCAAGGACCTCCTCTCATCATATCTGGTTCAGCTCGTGTGGTATCAATATCAAATGACATACTCCACGAAGTGCTCTAGCGACGGGGGGGTCGGCTAAGTGAACTTGCTTACTTGACCCCTCCCTGAGGAAGCCGTAGCTGCCTGAATATGTCAATGAAAACCCCCTGGCCCCCCTCTCGAAGCCCCCTGAAAAATGTTGTACCTTAAAATTTTTATTGCGGATTCGGACAGCTCTTGAAGAGCGCAGTCGGAATCTACCCAAGAAAAAAAAAAAGAGAAGATATTTGGGCACTTTTTTTTCAAAACCGGTTTCCTGGTTCCCCCCCCCTGGTCTGGTCCGGCTCCGGTTGGACCGGGGTAGCTCAACTGGCCGGTTGCCAGCCCAGCACTGTTGTGTGACTTGTGTCTAATAAATTATTATGGAGAGAGGGCATGTCCGGACCCTCCAAAAAAGCATAAACGGGCCTGAAAACCCCCAAAACAATTTTGGGGACTTGGCTCCTCGGTGGGAAAGGCTCCTGGACCGTTCCTTTTTTTCCTCAAAATTTGGCAGATCCGGACCTTCCAGACCGGACGTCTGGAGTCCGGACTGAATCCAGACCGTCTGGACAGCGGGCCGGACGTCTGGATCATAGCCATGATCTGTTCTGATCAGTGTGATATCTGATCCTTGGCCCATCAGACCAAATTTTTGAAAAAAGAAAGGGGAAAAAAAAGTATGTGGTGGATTCTAATATAAGAATTGAGCATGGGGGGTATTTGTCTCATGAGAATAGGGCATGGGGAGTAAGTAAACTACTTGTCTCGTGATGGAGCTGATTTTTGGGTCTTCTTCCATTTGGATGTCATGTGTCTTGCCTGCCTTTGTGTTCCGTTTAGGTTTTCTATGCATTACCTTTCTGGTCGTGGTGTGGGTCTTTTGAGCAGCAGCACTGTGATTTATATGGCCGTTGTCTTGACGGTCTTAATGGTGGCCGTTGCGTATGGTATGTGAATGTACGGTTCAGAAACCTACACCCTGGCTGCTGATACCTATCATAACCTCTTGGTCCTCTCTTCTAATATCATATCATCGCGTCTGAGGATTGGCAGAGGCACGAACTAAGGAAGTGTTTGACAAAATTGGTGATTTGGGTAATCAACGATAAATGGTCTTTGTTTTGATACAAACAAAAAGAAGATGGCTATGTTAGAAAAGGTGCGAAATTAATTGGAGCGGGCTGTGCAACAGCTGTTAAAGTCTTAACCAGTGTTTTAGTGTGCTCATCACTTTCTGTCTCTGCTGTGGTAGAAATCTCCACCTTGCTAGGTCAGGCATGTACGCCTAACTCAGACACGCAACAGTTTACCCAACAATGACATGATGTAAATACTAAATAGCTAAAAATAGTGTGTGACCACTGGGCCATCTAGACACCAGGGCCGTTGGATGAGGACACAAGTCAAAATCTGACAGGCCCATCCCGGTCTAGAGTTGATTCTTTCAAATTCTGCATGTTGTTTTTTGCTTTATTTTGTTTTTTGTAACTAACATATGTACAGACACATTTAGTTCATTCCATTAAACATCGAAACCACACAGAGAAGATGACCATGGGCCTTTTGCGAGGATGACACTCACAAAGCAAGAAATGATCGAAAAGAGTTGAAAAGACACCAATCTTTTGTTGAAGAGAAGAAAACTGATGCTCTCCTTGTTGCAAAGGTACATACTCTGGTATTTGGCACAACCTTTCGTACACCTTGTGTTTTGCTACTTTTTCTCTTTCTCCAATTTTTGGCCAAAACATTCCCGGATTTGTGTGTGTGGCTTCATGCAGGGGCCATGCTGTAGTTTCCCAGGTTTAATAGATGTTTGAAGGACCTTCCACCTCCTGTACTTTGATGCCAAGGGCATTTTTTTTAATGGTCTTCAGGGGGTTGGGACAGCTGGGGGATGGAATGTCTTGTTTAGAAGGGCCCTCTTGTGTAGAAAAGTCGGTGTCGTGTTTGCTTGGGCTGCAAACACCTGCCAGTGTGGGGGTCCAGCCAGCATTTCTTTCTTCCTACTTCCTTCCGTCCTTCCTTTTCTCCCGTCTTGCTTCTCTGCCTGCCTCCCTTCCTTCCTGTCTATCTCTGCCTCGGCCTCTTGCCAATGTCTTGTTCTCTCCCCCCCCCCTCCTCTCTCTCTCTCTCTTCTGTTTGACCCTTCAGTCTCCCCACGGCCACCCTTTCTGCTCTCTCTCTCTCTCTCTCTCTCTCTGACCCTCCAGTCTCCCCACGGCCCACGCTTTCTCCTTTCTTTCTCTCTCTCTCTCTCTCTCTCTCTCTCTCTCTCTCTCTCTCTCTCTATCTATCTGTGTCTGTGTGACCCTCCGGTCTCCCCTGCCCACCCTTTCTGCTTTCTTGCCTTGTGTATGACTGTGTGCTCTCACCCAGCCATGGCTTGGAGCCAATGGGCTGCATTCCAGAGGGCTAACCTTGCCTGTTTGGAGCAGTCCTTCGGCGGGAAATCCTGTACTACGGAAATTGTCCTACTCGAGAGGAGGGATGCTAGATCAGACTTCTGATTGGCAGAGAACAATTGACTCAGCTGTTCAGCTGGGGAATCTACATCTACATCTACATCTACAATACTATTTCTTATCTCACGGCCTGAAACGCAGGCCGAAAGCGTTACCGCGGACGGCCCAGATCGCAGGCCGATCAGAAAACTTTCTCATCGGCCTGCGATCTGGGCCGTCCGCGGCGCGTTACCGGCCTGCGCTTCAGGCCGTGAGATATCGGTACCTGAGGCGCCCGTTCGCCTGCCCGTCGGCCCGTAATCGTGGCCGCCCCCCCCCCACCC